AAAAACAATGTGTCCATGTAAAATTTTGACACATAAAGTATGTATACATAAACAGTTGGAGAATCAATTCAGAAAAATTCTGTTATCTATTTAACCATGATAGATTACTCTCCCCAAATGGCTTGGGTATACTAGCTGTGTGTGTATGATTGCTAAACAGTCACTGTATTTATGAAGTCATTTCTGGAAAACAGTCAATCTGGTTTGTTGTTAGTGGTACTGGATGCTATGTTTCAGTCAAAGAAACAGCCTTAATTGCCTGCAGTAGTTGCTTGCTATGAGGGCACATCTTGCTATATTTAGATCTCCTTGACATTTTAATTAATGATTAAAAAATAAGCACATGAATGTGTGAATATACCTAATGGCACTGAAGTGTACACTTAAATGGTGAAAATAATAAATTTATGTATATTTTGCCACCCTCGGTCCCCCCCCCCCCAATCTTCTTATGGAATAGTTTACAAATTAATAGAAGTTTGGAGCTGGAAATTCCTCAGTTCATCTCTCTAAGTCAACTCTACAGGTGTTGAAGTTGCCTACGTGATGATGTGACATTCTAGCATTAGATAACCTCTTCCTGGTCTTTCCTACTCTGCAGATAGGGATCCAGGGGTCAGGAGAAAGTCTTCTCTTTCTCTTGCCCACTGTAGCATAGGAGAGAGGGTGTGTGTGTGTGTGTGTCTGTGTGCCCTGGCGCGCACAAGCGCTCTTGTCTGATTGGAGACCTCTGAACCGTCAGCCGCGCTCTTCTTCCATCCTGGGGAGAGGTGCAGTTTAAAGGTTCTGTCACAGCACTTTAAAGGATCCTGGACAATTTGGCAGGAGCTTAGGAGGCAACCATCGGACTGAAGGCGCGGCTGGAGTGAAAAGGTTTGCATCTCAACGACAGGAGATGAAAGTTGGCAAAAGCTCTGCCCCAGCTTTTGCTCTGGATCAACTTTCCAGCGTGTTTGTGATGAACAGCACTTAGGACCTGTCCGCTGGGTGGTGCACCCTCCTTCCGCCCTGTGCTTGTTTCCCATTCCCGCCCCAGGGGCCCTGCTATCGCAGTGCCCGCACTTGTCCCGCGCACACCCGGCCTGTCAGGGATGCTGGAGACACGCGTGCAGCAGCCGCGGCCGCCGCCGCGGCCGCCGCGGCCGGGCTGCCCCGCCTGGCACATGCGCAGTGGAGACGCCGGGCCGGCGCCTTCAGTCTCCTCCTCCGCCGCCTCCCGGTTCCGCAGTCACTTCCTGCAGCTGTTTCCCAGTGGGTACGGCTGGACTGACTTTTGACAGTCAGCCTTCAGCTGCGGAGGGGGCTTGGCGGGGGCCAGCCGGGAAAGTTGCGTCGAGAGAGGCGGAGTTGAGCCGGGCCGAGCCGGGTGCGCGGGACAGACGGTGGCGGGCGCCCGGCGTGGACGCGGCGCCCAGACTCCCCGCGCGTCCCGAGGGTTCCGGTAAGTGCCGGCGATCGCGAGCCGCGGGGCATTTAGGACGAGCCCCGGAGCGACGGCGGCTAGCGGTTCTTTCGGGTGCGGGCTTTCCACCTGCCCTCCACGTGACAGGCTTGCGCTGCTGATATTTGTGTTTGTTTTTGAGCATTTCACGTGCACCTTTTGGATGGTCTAGGCGTGCTGCTGCCTTGGCCCTCACGCTTGCCCCCGCCCGGTGGGAGACCGGGGATTCCATCTTTCGTGATGGCATCCTTATGGGATCGAGGTGCGTGAGTGTGTGCGCGCTCGTGTTTATGCAGGCACATATTAGGAATGTAAGGTATACGTGGGCGATACTGAAGTGTATGTAGCTTAGATTCAAACGTGTAAATGGTTCCCTTGGGTTCGGAACCGTCTTAGCTGAGACTGGAAAACATTCGCCAATTCACCAAGGCCTCTTCTCCCCCAGATCCCTGCATTCTTCTGAATCTTCCTTATATGATAGACCTTGCCTCAGCTGATTATTTTTCTATTTTTCTCTCTTTCATTACTTCTCGCTGCGTTCTGATGACCTCTGAGTAATGCTCACCATTTCCCCTCATTTCCTGAATTCCCAATTACTGTAGACTTCCCTAGTTTGCTGTGGTACCAATAACCTGTTCCTTTACACTGTATTCTTTCCTCTGTAGGTTTCTCCAACTGAGAAAGTGATTGTCTTTAATACAGTATGTGAAAAGTAGGCCCCAGTCTGATCATGAAAACTATGCCATGATCATTCCTTTTCTTCAAACAGGGTACACCATGAAAGCTTGACTTTCTTTATTGTTCCCTCAACCCCTTCCAAACCAGGACGTTAACCACCATAAGTCCTTTGATTATGCCACTTAAAGCATCAGATTGAATGGTTTTTAAGGTCTGAGGAATATATTATTTACATTAGCCATCAAGTTAGTTTCTTTTACTCTAATGCAGTAGTTGAACGGATCCGAGTCACATACGCTTTGGGTTTCTCTATATTCTATCACTAATGCTTTCACTAAAGACTAGGTTTTATTTCTTTTAGATTTAATTTTTATGTTAGGTTTTTTTTTTTTCCCCCAAGCATGGTAATACTTGATGTAGTTGTCATGCACATATCCTTTTTGGGAGTTGACATTATCATTTTGCTTGTTAAATATCACAAGAAATAATTTTGGAATATCTGGCTATTCTTTAAAATTTATAAAGATAAAATGTGATAATGGGTAGTTCGTACTTGGCAAGAATTTTTTCCGTAATGCGCAGGATTTTATCACCTCTGGAAGGGCCCTCTTGGACCTTTGTGCTTTGAGACTGGACTTTATTTTGATGGAAACCTGTAGGCAACACTGGGGGGATGCGTGCTGGAATTTCCTCAAGTGGGAGTGAGCTTTCATAAAACAAGTCCAGACATGTCTAGGCAATCAGTAGTGTTTGATTTTGTTTGTATTGTCAATTTCCTTTATCCAGATGTTTCAACACTCTTCTCCATTTTCTGAACTGGCAGCTTGTTTGTGGCAGTTTGGTAGCAGTATGTCTCTGTACAGGTGGCATCTGTAGTCTTTTAATATTACGGATTATTATAATTAGATAGCTAACTTTTTGAAAAAGTGGCTTTGTCTCCTTAGTTTTCCTTTTTCAAATATCCATGCCTGTCTTGTTTGATTTAATCGAGAAGAATAATATGATTATAGAGAATCTGACTTTTTAAAGGTTCTAAATCTGTATTGCTTTTCTTTATGTTCTTAGAGATATGGACAGTATACTTCTGCTTAAGAATAAAATAATATTGTTCTTTTAAATATTATGATGAATGAGAAGTATTGTTGAATATCATGACTAATAATTTTTGTATTTTGCTCTTAACTCCGTTATTTTGCCATTGCCCTGATATCCTCTGCTGCCCCCAGACCCTGAATTTAGTATAAAAGTTATTACTTGATTGCAGTTTCCACAGGTATACTTATAATTGTGCTAAAAGAGATGTTTAACTTTTTAAAATTTTGGTTAATTTTAGTAAATCTATTATCATCAGAAAATGTACACATTTCTATTGCAGCTGGAAAATTTCAGCAGTTTAAAATAGCCATATTTTATTGACCAAGAAAAGAGGTTTTAGTAGTGTTGAGAGAGTGGAAGGAGTTGTGTGTTTTGGAGTAAGGATTTTAATTTGGGTTAATTAGAATCATGGGAACTCAGAGTGTGTACTGTGGTTCATTTTGAGATACTCAGGGTTAGAAGATGCCAGCTGGGTGGGAGGCTGGAGAAACCATGTATAAAATTGAAGAGGTATTGGAACATATTGGATCTTTTCTGAGCAAAACAGAATTGAGATGATCAGTTACTTAATAAAAAGGAGAAAGGAAATTGCTGAAAGACCGATGAGGAACTAGAATTAAATTGGGCTAATGGTAGTGTGATCCATTACCTCATAGGACATTTAGTTGATACATTATTTTATGCAGGTAATTTATGGCTAGAAGAAGAGAAAATATTCTGATTTTTTTAGGCGACTCATGAATGTAAGGCCATACAAAGTGGGGTCCTATGCTTAAGGGCCTACAGGGAGCAGGCAAGTAGCACAGATACAGACAGCAGGCTAAGTGGGGAAGAAGGTGGCCCCAAGAAGGCAAGCCTGGCTACTGGCCTCTCAGCCTCTCAGCACTGACTAGCTAATTGTCCATATAGGACCAGGTGCCAAGTGTTGCCAGATCATCCTTTTATCAGGAGAAGCCAGGAATCTCTTGATTTTTAAATGTTGATGACTAATTCAATTTAAAAAGTGAAAGCAAAACAAAACACTGTATATTCCAAACAGAGGACATCTGAAGTTGCATGTGGCCCACACGCTGTCTACAGCCTCTGCTGGGAGGAATCATTGGCTTACCTATTTAACTATTACTGGTTGATGGGAAGGAACTCTTTTGTTTATTTTTGTTACACTGTAACTGAGTTATTCCTAAACTTCCTTGATATTTTAGCTAGCTCTCAGAGTGTTTTCAGGGTTCCAAGACATGACAGTCTTTATTTTGCTCTTTTTGACATCATCTGGATGGAAAGACTAGTTTGGATGGAAAGGAGACATTTGCTAAGGTTCTTAGCCTGTAGTGTTTTTGTCTATGCATAATTATCATCAAGAGTATTTAAGTGTAAGTGTGCCTGAGGGAAGGGGTCTGGACTAGGTGACCTTTGATGTCCATTTCAGCCATGTGACTTTTAGATTTAATTAGCCATGGATGCAATGCTATTAATGTTCATGGGCCAGAGGGACCGCAGTTGGAGCTGTGCCAAGCAAAATAAAGCGAAATCTATAAAGCTGTTCTCAGTGGAAGAGCATAGTGTCAGTGTGGATTAACAGACAGGGGAGGTCTGCTAGAGGAGGCAAAAAGAAATCCCAAAGGTGGCTTGGAGAAGTAGAGGAAGGGGTCAGGTGGTGTGGTCATTTACATGTCATATTGCTGAGGTCACATTTTTAAGTGAGCATTTTTTTTTTTCCCTCTTGATTCAGATTTGAAGACCTGACTTCTCATCGCCCATTGGATTATGCCCAAGGCTTTCCTACCCAATGATCCTCTTGCAACACGCCGGGCTTCCTCTGCCTAAGCGGCCCTCATCCTCTCCTCCTATGTCAGTGGCCGCCAGGTCTACAGGAACCTTGCAGCTTCCGCCACAGAAGCCTTTTGGGCAGGAGGCTTCCTTGCCTCTTGCAGGGGAAGAGGAGTTACCTAAGGGAGGAGAGCAAGACTCTGCCCTGGAGGAGCTATGTAAGCCCCTGTACTGCAAACTCTGCAATGTCACCTTGAACTCAGCGCAGCAAGCCCAGGCTCATTATCAGGTAAGGAAAGAAAAGAAAACCAGGAATTTAGTGAGAGAATGTTTTAGGGCTTTGCCCATTTCAGAGTCATGTCTCCAGATATGACCAATTGTGCCTGGAATAATCAAGATGGCTTAGTGAAGAACTAGATATTAGTTTGTCTGATAAAAAAGCATAAGGTTCCTACATTAAAAGAGAGCATCACGTTTCACAGAATGGGCTCTCAACGTAACTGTGTGGCATTTGATAGCTTACTATTTGTTGTAGGCAAACGTTCATCATCTGTGCTCGTGGACCAACGTGCAATCCTCAGGTGAATAGGTATTTGAAACATAATGTACCAAGCTCAGTTCAAATGGTTTATAAGAATTAGCCTTATAAATATTATCTTGTAGCTAATACAGTTTATCTCAGTGCAAGGTAATCTCTATGAATCTTACACTTTGTCTCTTTGACCTCTGACTCTTCTTATATAACCTGTCACTCCTAAGGAAAACATGTATTTTTCTGTCGTTAGAATAAAATGACGTTGGAGTATTGAGCCTTATCCTTCATAGGAAGCATACTGTGGTTTCTTTTAGCCCGTTAGTGTGAACTGATAATCATTTCTAAGGTTTAAAGCTTTCACCTCCATGTAGAATGGCTAGCGGAAAGGACAATTTTAAAGGGTGTTATTACCTAAGAACAAATAGAAAGCTAACTTTTGGCTCGAAAGAGAGGGTACGGTATTTCTTTTTATTGTAGATTGCTATCCGTATACAATTATGTAATTTCCTTTTTTGGAAAAAGGCGACCTGAGAAGCAACTGGGGCCAAACACCACTGAATGAAAGGATGTCTTCTGGGTCAGCATTGATTTGGCTGTTTATTCTTTGCACGAGTAGCTGCGATAGTAAGATGTAAGGTAGAAAGATGACTTATACAAGTATTTCTTCCATCGTGCCACTATAACCATCTCTAACTTACGGGTTTTATTCACTGTAAGTGTAAATCTTTTTTGTTTTGTTTTGATCCTAAAGACTGATGACTGTGTCACTTGGTGATTGTACATCAGAAATATTGTGATGGTATATTGTTTTCCTGGGGATTTGGGGGAAGAGACAATGTGTGGCTTCCCTGGAGTTCCCTTTGTTTGGGTTTGTTTGGCCCTCAGGTGCAGAGGATTGAGGTAATTATATCTCAGATCTTGGCACATGTCCTCATTGGTGCATGAAGGCATCTTCTGGTTTTATTTTTACATTTTCTCCCCTTCCCCAGCCCCACTCTCATTCTCTCTGTGTACCACTCTCCACCACAGTGTTTGATACAGGGTCTTCCTTTGCCTCTTTTACTGTTTGAGGGGAGTCAGGATGATGCTTGTCAAACCCAAGACTCAGTGCTAGTTTTCCTCTCCATTTATTCCTGCAGAATGGCCAGTTTTATAGGCTAAGACTCACTTTGAAAAATCAAGCTTAAGTTCTCAAGTTTTGATTTTTAAGTCATTAACTTGAGAGAAAACCTACCTGTGTGTGCCCTTTAAAGAAGAGTTGTGAGGTAAAACTCTTGGGCAGTGTGTAATTTTAATATGTGTGTATGGATTATATCTGTATCTCCTGCCTTTTTTCCCCTCCTAATATCACGTTATGGCTCTATAGACAGTAATGGATGCTTCTGGTTATGAATAGAGAGAATTCAATTTGAAGAGGGTCATTGGATTATAAGGCTTAACCTAGATAAGAAACAATCTGCATTTATTTGTTGTTGTTTTTTCTTTGATTTTACATTTGTGTGTGTGTGTGCGCGCACACATGTGTGCTCTGAACTTTTTAGTTGGTAAGATTAGTAATTGTACTTAATTTCAGCTCTGTTCATGATATGGTAAATATGTAAATTAGAAAACATGAGAACAGGGAAGTGAAATTTAGATAAATGTCTCTATAATCAGAATTTTTAAGGGGAAAAGTTGGAGAAGGATAGCCTGTCATAGTGGATAATTTAAGCAGCCAAGAACTAGGGTAAAAATAGAGTAAAGAGAAGCAAGTGGGTATAAAGAAAGCAGAACCTAATGGAAAATTAAAAGTTTGGGGTTTGTCTAAGTTTGTTTCTAAGAGCTTAGAAGCAAAGATTTGAAAGAAGTCAGTGTTATTGTTAAAGAGGGAGGTTTTTTGTTTTTGTTTTCCCTTTACAGAGAAACAAGGGAAAGCAGTTAATGTATGACATGTGAAAGTATGGAACAATTTTATTAGCATAGTATAGAAGGAAAGTTAATTTTATTTATTTATTTATTTATTTATTTATTTATTTAGAGAGAGAGGGAGAGAGAGAGAGAATCCCGAAAGGCTCTGTGCTGTCAGCGTAGAGCCTGATGCAGGGCTTGATCTCATGAACTGTGAGATTGTGACCTGAGCTGAAATCAAGAGCCAGATGCTGAATGGACTGAGCCACCCAGGCACCCGGAGGAAAGTTAATTTTAGAAGTAAAATCTGAATGTCAACAAGATAGATGTGGTTGAGATGAGCGAGTGTGGATCAAAGAGTAGGTCAGAATAATAAACAGTCAGAGCATGGACATAACTTAGAGGTGGGTGAAACCACTACAGAAGGGAAACATAAATGTCAGCCTGTAAGATGCATCAAAGGCTAATAGACAGTACACCAATAGACAATGATTAAAAACGGCTACTGAAGGGGCGCCTGAGTGGCTCAGTCGGTTGAACATCCGACTTCGGTTCAGGTCATGATCTCACGGTTCAGTTCAGTTGCTGAGTTTGAGCCCTGCATTGCCATCTCGGCTGTCAGCACAGAGTCTGCTTCAGATCCTCTGACCCCTTCTCCCTCTGCCCCTCCCCTGCTCTCTCTCTCTCTCTCAAACATAAATAAACATTAAAAAAAATTAAAAAGAAAAGGGCTACTGAAGTCCAGGGTAAGACCAGTGAGTAAGGCTTACCAAGAACCAGGAATAGGCAGAACAGCAATGATTGTAAGTAGGCTAATAAAACAAAGTGGTTGATGAGGTGATGGAAAGTTTTACTTCTGAAAACCTGCTTTATAATTTTTAATACCAAGTGATACCAAGACCACAAATTCACTATTTCTCTTATGCGTGAGATAAAAGGGGTCAGTGGTAGCCTGTTTATAAGCTAGAAACAGGTTTGTGTGAAATGATAAATCACGGTGATTACATTACTCAAAACGTTTTAGTCAGTTGGTGCCATTGTTGAAATCGCAAAGTTTCAAATTGCCCAGGGTATTATAAACAACCTTCAGTGTGGTGTGGGCAGTGTTATGCTAGAGTCTAACTGTATCATGTTCCAGAAATCCAGGACACACAATGGAAGCTGCTCAATATTTCCCTTTAAACTCACCACCTTCTTTCCCTGACATCCTGATGTTCCTGTGTTGGGGCTGCCTTCGCAATGACCCCTGTGTATCTGTGGTCACCACAGATTTAGTTTTATTCCCAGGTCTTTTTAACCCAGTCCATCTGCTTTAAAATACCCTGAGTTGTTTTACTTTTAATGAGATTACCTATTTTTACAGTCTCACAATTATGGCTTCAGTTATATCTTAATTTAAAATAAAACCTTTGGAGGAAAAACATATCTTCATTTTATTAAAATCTGTCTGCAGGCTTCAGGTCACTTAGGGCAAGCCTGGCATGGAGTAACACAACACTGTTTTAGCAGCAGACATGCCCAGAGGAAGAACTACTTTGGATAGACGGTCGTTAGCAGAAATAAAACAAGCAACCAAAAATGGATAAATTTTGCCAGGGCATCCACAATTGAAAATAAAGTCAACCAATTTATTTGCTAATTTGTGTGTCGATTTGAAAAATAACTGCTCACTCAAGGTGCATTTCCAAAGTTTGTCATAAACATAGATCTATTTCTATTTGTAATATTTAGCAGCTAAATAACAATGTACTGTATTAATTAGATTAATTTAAAAGGGAGACAGAATGCAGGTTAAAAAAAGTAGTTCTACAGTTGTGATGCTGATTGTAGTGATGTTAATTGATAATGCAGAGAATGCAATTGATGTTATCCCAAAGTTTAGAGTACTGATTTTGGTATTTATATTTTAACATTGGCTACCCGGTTTCATGATCAGCAACTCTAATCGCAGCTAATTTTTATGTTTTTCAAAATTCTCCCATCTGGTTGTTTTCCAAACGAACTTGCAGTGGACTGAGTTTAGTCAAAATGCACTTACTAGAAGACAGGAGGTCTCTATGATCCTGCCGGTGGCTGTGTCTCACCAGCTTTCTGCCTCTCCATCCTAGTCCCCTTGACCTCGTTCCTTCTTATTTCAGAAGAGTACATATCCCTTCTTCTGTTCGAGGCTGATTCCTTGCCCTAACTGTGGATTTCATCACCTGTCATCACTTCTTTACTTCGATCAAATTAAAAACCTGCTCAGGTTTTTCTATATAAATAAAAATAGCAACAGCAACCTTTCCTGTGCTTTTAATCCCTTTCTTTGGCAACTTTTCTCTTCTCTCCTAAGAGTTCTGACAGGTATAATTGTCCTCTCCTGGTCTTCATTTTCTATTCATTCACTGCATTCTGATTTCCGTTCCAATATTCTACTGAAATGGTCCTTTCCAAGGTCACCTGTGGTCTTACAGGTCAAATCTAGTTCTTTCTCGACCTTTTGTAGCATTTGCCACTAGGAACAGCTTCCTCAAAACATTTAAAGAAATTTTAACTCAAAATAATGCATATAGAACAAAGGGCATATAATGAAAAGCAGTAATCACCTGTTCTCTCTTCCTCTTCTATCCCTTCCTTTTCTTCTCCATTCTGCCTTCCAACTCTCATCTTGTGTTGGCGATAGTTTTACTTTGACACTGTTAAGGTTGATCACATTTTTGTTTATTTGATAATCAAATTAAAATTTCTGTTGCTCTATTTATAAGGTTGATTCCAATTGTTGAAAGTTGACATTCAGCTTTTGCATTACTATGAGTAGGGAACTATTGTCCACAGTAGAACTGTTTTCTTCTCTGTTTCCAATGTCTCGATCCCATGCTACTCAAAAG